GTCAGCCCCGGCGCGGTCTACAGATGTCCGATCGCAAGGAATCCAAACCGAACGTGCGAACAGCTCCAGTTGGGTGAGTTGGATCTGGGACCAGGAGTGAGTGCCCCCCCCACGCACACACACACACACACGCACACACACACTTACACTTGTGGACTCCAGAGTAACAAGTTCTCCTGGGAGAACTCATGTTGCCCATTCCTTCCACTAAAGGGGTCCCCTTCTTTCTGTCAGTATTTTGCTCCCCTTGGCTTACAGCAAGGATTGCGGTACTCTGGCTAAACTATGTAGAGGAAAATTTCTTATAATGCCTTCTCCTTTCCCAAGCGTCATCCCTTTTGTAAAACACATTTTAAAGCCTCAGCACATTAAGGGCAGGATATAGCTAAGCCAAGACTAAAGAATTTTATTTCCATCTTTGACCTACCGACCTTGTTAAAGAGAAGAGGCTAAGGGGCAGGTCAGGAAGAGCAATTGAAATGGATCCCATATCCTGCCATTTAGCCTAAGGGCTTTCGAAAAAAGAAAATGATATAGCTTTACTTAGGGTATAAAATGTAAAAAAGGAGAGCACAGGAAAAATTGGCATCTTCGCTGTTAATAATATAATTAAAATGAGGCTTAACATATACTTACTAGTTTTTTTCTCCCCAAATTCTCATGTTTAATAGGTGCCTCTATTTGAAGTCATTTCTTAACATCTCTTCTTAGATTTGTGATGACTTGGAAAATGTGTTCTGAAGGAGGGGGAGGGAAGTTCATGTTTCAAAGCCAAAAGCGAATTTGCTTTGCACAGACACATGGGGTGAGGGGAGCGGGGAGCGAAAGAGGAACTAGTATTAATTCTGACCTATCTTGTTCCAAACACCGTTAGGCACTGCTATATATGTTGCTTAAGTTTTTTCCCCTTGGAGCATCACTGGGTCATAGCGGGCATTGTTCCTCCTTAACACACAAGAAACTCGGTGACACAGAGGGTTGCAAGTACTTCTTCTAAAGCCTGCTCAGCTACTGAGTGGAAGATGGGACCCCAAGTCAAAAGCAGGTCTGCTTGTGTCCAAAGCCCAAGCACTGTCCTTTGATGTACGCATCTTCAGTGCAAATAAAGTTAAACGAAGAGTCCAGTATGTTGTCTGCTGAGCTGATAAGTCATCTGTAAATGGTGACTAAAAGCTTATGATTGGAACCTTTCTCATATTTTTGTTGTTGTTGTCCATAGACTTTTCAGATAGGCTAGTTACTGCACCTTTAACCCCTTTTTATAGTAGCCTTTGCTTTTTCCCAAAGTGGAAAGCTGTTTCCCTTCATTTAGAATGGATTCAAACAGAGTATGCATATAATGGGACTTTTTATTTCTAACTGAGAGAGCATCCATAAAAGTGTAGGAGTTGTCTGTAGCATGTAGAATAAGCCCTAGCCCCTTATTAAGCTTCTTCCATCCCCAAAGGCAGACTAGTAAAGCATAACACAGTCATAGACCTATTACTTGGAATAATTCTGCAAAACATAATTTTCACTGTATGAGGGAGTTGTAGGATGAAGAATTAAGGAGTGAGCAGACAACCTTGATCTGCCAGCGGCTCTTGACAAGGCCTCAGGAGGGAAAATTTTCATTTCTGTTGTCCTGTCATAGTTTTCTGATCTATGACATTTTAACTACTGATATCTAGTACTTAATTCCTGTCTGGAAGGGCGCTGAATCTATTTATAGATGTCTGTTTTTAACTGGAAAGATGTCATAGTATTATATAAAATTTCAGATAATAATACCTGTCAAAATTAAAAAACAAAACAAAAAAAACCTAAATTCTTTGGGCATGTGGAACATAGGGATTGACTATAGAAATACCCTTGGGTCAATAAAGAGGTATTTACTGAGATATAAGGCAAAAAGGAAGACAGGGTTTCTATTCAATCACTGGTTGGAACACTAATTGCTGTAGTAATAGCTTTGGATATTTACAAAAGAATTGACTGAAATTATTTTTCATGCATTGTTTTAAACAATATATCTTCTCTTCCTTTTATAAAGAAATTGTGTAGAAGGGGGTAAAGGGGGGATAAATGGTGGTGGAAGGAGACTTGACTTGGGGTGGTGAACACACAATACAGTATAGAGATGATGTATCATAGAATTGTACAACTGAAACCTATATAATTTTATTAACCAATGTCACCCCAATAAATTCAATAAAAAAAATAAATAAATAAGTTAAATGTATAAATTAAAAGATAACAGTTCAAATGAAACACAATGAAAAATATGTTCTTGTTGGCTGAATCAAAAAATCGTATAATAATTAAAGATTGAGCTGTGATTGCCATGTCAGTAAGGTATTTTCTTTCATTTGGAATGGCTTAACCTGCTAAGGAGATGCAGTTGAAAGATCTCTTAAAATGGTGTCTTTCTCCTACACAATTCAAAATGCTATTAAGATCGACTAGCCTTTCAGTCTCAGAACTTCAGATCAAATTTTGATTCAGATGGACTACTCCCCGTTAAAGAAGAGTTCAATGCCCCCACCCCATGTCACCCTCACCTTTGTGGATAATGTTGCATATTGTGGTATATTTACTGTAGCCATAATCCAAAGTCAGCAGCAAACGCCCATTTATCTAGAATGTTCAGGGTGTGAGATGTTGAGAGCAAGATACCCTTTTAGGAAAGTGAACTGACTATAGAAAAAGTGCTTTTCTTCCTGTATGCAGACAGTCTCCTTCCACCTCCCTGCCTCCCTGCGAACTGTCTGTCCTCTCCCTACATTGGTACGTCCCTCCACTAACCAAAAGGAAGGTCATCTTCCATCTGGAGGGTTGGAGCCCAGACTCGTTCATGGAGACGTCATGTTTGAGGATTGACATGTGGCAATCACCAGGGCCTAGCTGTTTTTCCATTCACAGTCTGCATCCTTGCAGAGGCTTTTTAAAAAGAAACTTTGGCAGCAGATGGTTGTTAAAATAAGGCATCACAAATAACAACTCCATCACTATAGTTAATCATAGTCCGTCCATGGATTACCAATATTCAAAGAATTACAACATAATAAAATACATAAGTGATTATAAAATTATACTTTTAAAATTGTCTTTAATTGGTTATTCAAAAGACATTTCAGATTTTTTATTACTTTGAAGTTGCCACTAATAACATTACACACACACACACACACACACACTTATTTGGGTAATAGAGTCTGAAGTTACACAGTGACACTTCCCACACAATAGCCAGTGGCCACCTATGGCTACTGAGCACATGAAATTCGGCTAGTTTACAGTGAGAAGTGTTGTACTGTAAATTACATACTGAATTTTAAAGACAATATCCTATTAATAATAAAATACAGTATCCTATTAATTTTTTTAGATATTGATTACATGTTGAAATCAATATCAACATTTGGCTTGTATTATATTTCTATTGGACAGCACTCTCCTAGAGAAACACATTTCCTGCATAAACTAACACTAACTTTTTAGCAGGTGTTTTCCAAGTGTCTGCATATTTGGACAGGACTTTCGCTTTTCCAGACCAACCGTTGTATGGCTATTAGACCTGTGAGATACCTGCTGTCCTCTCTTTTTCTTGCTGCAAAGAGCAATGGTCCATCACAAGTCAGTCATCATTATTCCCCTTCAGATTTCTTTCTGAAAATTATATTACCTTAGCCAGCCTCCTGGTTGATATTATATAACCTATTTGGAAGAGGTTAAGTCAATTAACATCGCATTATAAAACTAACAATTACCTCACTCTCACTTCTGCTTGATTTGCAGGAATTATTAGCTTAACATTAAAAGGCAAACCTCTCACTGTTGAAACTCCAAATATGTTCTTGATAACTTTTCTTTTTTATTTGTACTACTCTTTAAATTGTAGCTTATGAAGCCGAGTTGATACAGACTGGTCATTTTGAAAAATCACCTGTGAACATAGGTTGTTATGGTAATTATGCAGAAAATTAAGACAGAGGACTTCATTAATAAACTGTAATATTAAGAGAATTAAGTCCCCTGATTTCCAGCAATTTCTTAAAGTTCATATAAAAGAATGTTTTCTACCTAATTGGAGAAATGAGGTTTTCTAAATGAGTTTTATTTTTTGCCTTAAGTTTACTTGATTACTGAGTAATATTCCTAACAACTAAAAAAATATCTTCCCTTGGCAACAGTTCTGGGGTCAGATATCCATTGTGTATGTGGGTCATTTATTCATTCAGTCATTTATTGAGGGATGATGAAGGGCCAGAACCTGGACAAACAAAAGGAACATGGCCCTTGCTCCAAGGGGTTTCCAGTCCATTAGGTTACTATAGGAAAGTATGGTGAGAAGATCTAATTGAGTTAGGAGAATTCTTCCTGAGGAATTGATGTTCAAGTGGGGAACTAAGTGAAAACCAGGAGTTAGAGGAAGAGGTTATGGGAAAGGTGCCAGACAGAGCAAACTGTGTGCATGAAGACCCTGAGGTCTTTGAGACATGGCATCTTTGAACTGAAAGAAAAATGCATACAGTTGGACTCTGGAGGGTGAAGTGGATGGTACGTTGGAGAGGTAAGCAAGGATTATTTTTGGTACAACTTCCCAAACTCGCCTTAGGATTACGAATTTTTCCTAAGGTGATTAAAGCTGGGAAGTGACATGGTTAGATTTATGTTGGACAGATACTTCTGGTTGAAGAGTAGTGAGTGCTTTGGAGGAAATGGGTTAACAGTTCCCTTGGCAACAGGATGGAAAAAAACAGATTCTACAGTTATTTGAAAGATAGATTCAGCAGGATGTGATCATTATTAAATGAGAGAGATAAAAGAAAAGTGTTTTTCCCCCTCTGGGACATAATTTATTTTTAAATTAACCCCAAACAGTACCCTAACTTATACAGAAGAAAGGTAGGCTTAGAAAAAATTCCACAGTTGATTCTGATATATGATCTCCAACCCAATCTCCTTCATTTGAGAACTATTAGTATAAAGAAAGTATGCTTTAACTTTTAAGTATTTAGAGATGTTACTGAAGGTTTTGACTTGGACTGTTGCTTGGATGATGGTGCTATGTCTGATGAGACATAGAAGTAA